CTCGTTCAATTACTAGTTGAACTCATTTCACGCCTGCGAGAGAGGCCGCCGCCACTGCCGCGGGCGAAACTTGGCCTAAATGCCGAGTCGTGACTCTCTGCTGGACCTTGTACGTTCGCATGTAATACCGGGCAAGACCGCACTTGAGAACCACCCAGGGTGTCAACTACGCCTCAAAAGCCGCGCGGGTCGAAAGCATCTCGAACGAACAAAAAACTAAACCGAAGAAAGAGAAGTCTACTTATCGCCCGCCGGTCGAGGACTCATTCAATGAGCCGCTGCTTCGAAGCTGCATAGAGCTTCTCTATGTAATATTCGATTCTCATTGTGTAGAGTGTGATGTTTGGTGTGAAGAGCTCCCTTTCGGATTCGCATGCTCGCGCCTGTCCTTGCGTCTCCTCCATCCTCTTACTCTGTCGGGGCTGTTGTCGTAGCCTCGCGAAGACCACCTCGGAGGGCTCATTTGATGATTTTTTTCTGATGATTCGCTTGTTCTCAGCGTTGGTCGCAGAAGGCAGAAGGGAGACAAATGACGTTTTTCTGAAGAAGAGCTCCTGAATTAATGATGATCAGGGACGAAGCACTTTCACTCAATCAGTATCACTGGATGAGCTTTCAGTCAACGAGCCCGGCCATTGCTCACCCGCGTCTCGGATTCGCGGGGCGACAGATCAAGAGGCTTGCCGACTCCCAGATGCCCCTCTGGAAAATCGCAAAGCGACGACTCCGTTATGATGATGATCATTGCTGTGATGGCATCGAGCTGATGATGATCGTTATATTGTTGTTGTTGTGGTTGTCAAAAGCACAAGTCATCGACGAACACTGTTGTCTTCGGGGTGTTGTTGCGAGATCCGCCCATTAATATCACCGGGAGCCAGCAGCCGAGCAGGAAGGCGAACCGTAGCAGAGACGCATCGACAGGGTGGCTGGGAGCTAGACTTCTACGCTTGTCTCCGCATAGTGGTGATCCATGACTTTGCGCGGAACCTTGAGTTTCTTTTTTGTTGACATTCGAAGTACTCCTCCACAACGCCGACATCTTGTGCGGTTGGAGCAGCCTTGCTCCAAATGAGAGTCAGCCAGCCAGCCAGCAATACGGACAGAAAGACAGCCGAGGAGCGAGCTATCCCGGCAGTCGGAAAGACAAGCACGCAAGCAAGCACGCGAGCGGTGGCTTCCCGGCCATCATCGAATACTCACAGAATTCGGCTTGATTCCCGTCTGTCACTCCACTCAGGCTGTGCCGTTAGCGCTGCATCCAATGTTTGCTCACAATCAGTTCTTTCTTTCCTAACTTCACACAGAACGATGATCAACATCAGCAGAAGCAGCTGCTGCAGAAAAAAAACGCAGAAATTCTTCAGCCTGAGCCGCAGAATGCACTTTCAGAAAGCTCAGGGTGACATCAAGCACTTGTATGGTCTTCCGGAACAGAATCGAAGCAATCATCCTTCCGAAAGAGCAGTTTTGGGAGTCCGAGTAATTGAATCTGTTCGATTTGATCACAAGGATAGCCTCCCTCGCTTTAAATGTGATAAACTGCCGGTGCGGCGTCGCTATAAACTTCGATTTTCGGACTTTCCCTGGAGGAAAAACTCTCCGATGAAAACGTTCGATATTTTTCCTTACATCAGTTTTTGTGGGATTCCCCGTGAAAATTAGCGGGAGAAAATTCGAAGCCTCCAGTAGCGAATAATTGTCGGACTCTTGGTATCACACGACTCACGCCAAAAACAGTTTCTGTAAAGCGATCGATGTCAATGATAAGGCGGCGGCGGCGGCGAACGACGCGTCGTCGAGCACCGGCAGAAGCGGGTGACGTCGAGAGACCTCTGTTTTTAGCCCATTCTGACATCCGGAGATAGGAGTATTGAATGGGCCAGCAGACCATGAATGGAAAAGTAGAGGCCGATAAGGCGCGTATCATTCCAGCCCCATGCCTATTTCGCGGGAAATGCGCGCGAAGGGAGAGATGGCGGAAGGCAGAAGTTGAGACGACGCTCGCATATAGGTTTTTCCCCGAGAGTTCGTGAAATGTCGAGGAAGCATTCCAAAGATCGGTGCTTCACTTGTGCGCGCGGAGTCGTGCTAACTCTCACCAGGGTTAGCAGCGGAGAGCACGCGATGGATCTTCAAGCGATTCCAAGCATCTCCTGTCCGGCTAGTGCTGCAGACTTGATCCGGTTTTCGCTCGCGACGGAATCGGCACGGGTTAGCCGATTCCGAATTAGTCGCTGTGAACTTTCCTCCCGATCACTGCGCTCGCCTCTCGAAGCGCTCAAATCTACAGTACCAGAAGGCCGGCCGGCCGGCCGGCTGGCCGACGGTCACTTCAAGACAGTGGCAAGCGATGTATCGCTCTTGTGGTTGCTGTTCTTGTAGTAGAGGAATTCTCCGAGTTTTTTCTCGGCCAATAAAATTTTTGAAGAATCGAGTCGAGCATCATCGTCGAGGAGCGAGTCAGGTAGCCGCTTCGCGATCACCGAGCGAACGCGATCGTAAAAGCAAATTTCAGATCAATTGCTCGATGCTTGACCGAGCGACGCTTGCCCGACGAGCAGACGGACTGACTGACTGACTGACTGCCAGCTTGCTGATGATCTGGAAGCCTCTTGTTCTGTGGTCAATATTTGCGCTGCGCCGTCCCTTCAGAGACAGAAGGTAATCAGACAGACATCTCAATGCCGATCCGATTGCATTGTTTTCTTCCTGGCCTGATGCTGCTTCTGGTCTTCCTCGTTGCTATTCTTGTGCGTTGCGTCCATCCATTCCTCCATTAGCCCACCGATCCTATGCTCGCCCAGTCACTCGACGAGCTCCACGGGGTAAACCGGAGAAGAAAAAGGATAAGTTCCCCGTTTCGGATCCATATGGCCATTTTGACGCAAAACGGTCATATTTGCTTTGGAATAGTAGAAGTAAGCTCTCGGGAAGACCCCACTCGCTCTTGGTCGATTCCTCGCTCTTTCGGTCGGTCGCTCCCTCGCGGTCGTGGCCCTCGAGAATCGGTTTGGGAGATCAGAGCGGATAACTTCTGGCCGGCAAGAGTCAAAATCGATTCCTAAGCCGTTTGCTCGCTTCCACCCCGACTAGCACTGTCAGGACCGCTGTGCAAGTCGTCAAGTAAGTCGCTCGGTCAAGCACCGGCGGTTTGTCAAAGACAAGATTAGGGACACGGCAGAAATCTGAGCGAACCCTGCGTCTGGGGAATGTTCGATACCGGGAACAACTGTGAAGAGGGGAAGAAGGTCGAACCCACCGTCCAGCCCACCAGCCAGCTCCCAGATAAATAAGCCGCCTAATCGAATTTGTTTTCATCGAAAACTTCTGCCGTTCACGAGCCTAATGACTGTGAGCGAGCGCTATATGGGTGCCAGCTTTTTTTTTGGTGGTTCCTGTAACGTTTAGTGAACGGCAGTCAAACCAATAGACCAAGCGAGTGACCGGTGGACTGACCGAGCGGTGGAACGAACAGGCAATCGATCGGCTCAAGACGACGGCGGGAGAAGACGCAGTGATTGCTTTAACCTTAGTACGGACGAATCTCGGGTCGCCTCCACGAAAAGCAAAGCAAGAAGTCAGAGCCCTGTTGTTATACTACTACCGGTTAGCCGGCGGCGAGTAGGCCACAGCAGTTGCCATCAAAGAGACTTAGGAATGAGCGGGCGGGCTGACGGACGAGCAAGCGAAGAGCATTCGTTTACGGCAATGCATGGCGAAGAACAACTTATGCAGATTATTATTATGGGCAGAAGTGCCGTAAAAATCGAGTGAACCATAAATGTTTGCTCTGTAAATGGACGGAGGTTGCGCCGAAGGCGACGGACGGGACACGATGCGAAAGGGACGCGACGACGACGACGACAGCGTACGCTGGTGACGTACAGCTCGTAAAGATCGAGTAAAACGTTCAAACGCAGAGCAGCGACGTTAAACAATTCGATGCCGCTGATCATTTCGACTACTTGTTCTCCGACAGTCGTCTTCGCTGTCGCCGCCACCGCCATCCTTTTTTTTCGCTCGGTTTTCCTTTCTATTTTTGTTTTTTATTTTCAGAGATTTCGCCGACTGGCTTCCACAAACCAGCGGCAAACGACCAACAGCCCCAACGATTCGTAAAATCTATATAGGAAGAAGAGTGCGAAAGGTTAAAGAAAGGTCATCGAACAAGGGTCGAATTAACGAAGCTACGACTACTACTAAGAAAGAGGCAAAAAAAACTCGAGAAAAAAAACATTCGGAATGAAAACTTCAAGACGAGACGAACCTTTGCAAAGCAAAAATAAACAGTCGAGGGAGACCTCACAAGCGAGCCCGCTAGTGAAGGAGAATCTTCCGAATAAGGAACACAAATAGAACCTATGAGATCGAAGGAAAATAACGGAAGGGTCGAGGCGAAAGTCTAAAATTAAAGATTTAGCAAAAGTTGAAGGGAAAGGGAGCAAAACAAAAAACTAGAGCCTGCCGCATTCCGTCTCTGAGAATACTTCCTTCATCGACAGGTTTCTCGTCCCAAGTTTTTTTTCTTCAATTTCGCTCAGAAGATGGAGAATCAATCTTGGTTTCAGACGAATTCGAACGTCCATGGGAAGCTCCATCGGGGGTCTATGACTGGATCGAGAGACCGGGAATGGTTCGTTTTCGCATTAAGATAAGTCGGAACGGGAATTCGTCATGTGCAGAGATTGTTCCAGAGGCCTGGCGAGCTCGCGGATGTCGTCCGCGGAGTTTTCTCAGAGTTCGCAGCTGGTAATAATTTCGCCAGGGCGGATAGCATCAGTCGACTCCGAACTGGGGCGCCGGGAGCCACTCGTCTCCACGAGCCCCGCTCCCATCGATTTCGAGCTCCTTCAGACGGGAAGACCCGTCGATTGATCCGTCGACCCATAGCTCAGCGCTCCGACCACTTCTCGAGTCTTGACTCGGATCAGTGCTCGAGCCGTTCCCCTGCGAATTTCCCGTCTGCTCCCGAGCAGCAGGAAGAGGGTTTGCACCAAATGAGACGCTCGCTAGTTCACAGTACGTCTGCAGGTCGCGTATGTGTGCGTTGATGACGGCTTGATCTTCTCGGCAAATAGCGACAACCAAAATATTCGAAGGTTAAAAAGAGCGCTTTTCCTCATTCATTGACTCACTCACTCACTCATTCATCGCTCCTTGAAAGCATCCGACTTCTTCAAAAAGTTCCCTTTGACGTAGTCTTCAATGTCGTCGTCGACTGTTTGCTTCCCCCGCCTCAACATTCTTCAACATGTCTTCTCCTACATGAGGAAAATGATGATGTTCTTCTTCTTCTCATATTATGATTATTATCTTCATTTCAATGATTTCGTTATTTTGTTGTCAAACGGTTCGTAAACAATCGCGACCAGCAAGAAAGAAGATCCCATTGGCCTTTGAGCCCTCCGAAGCCGGACAGATATTCGTCAGCCAAACGCGGAAAACTGTTAAACGGAGGAGGGAAACAGGGAGGCAAAATATTTGGTAGGCTTCAGAGAAAGAATGTCAAGTACACTAACAGAGCAACAACGCGTGCTCGGCCGACTGATTCTTGGAGAATGCTCTTCAAGCTCTGAGCCGACACCGGTTTCAAAGAACGGTTCTCAATGCGGTTCCCGATAGAATGCGGGGCTCGCAGAACGGAAAACTTCGCTAAGGGACAGCCCTCTGAGTAGACCGGAAACGGCCGACTCCGATCCAGTGCCCCGGGCCCTCCTCCGAGTCTAACAGGAGTTCCGAAACATGAGCCAATGGAAAATATCCTCGAATCGCCGGAGCTCAGGAAGCGAATTTTTTTGGAGCGTTTCTGGCTGTTTTCTCATTTCTAATCACGATATAGGTCCGTAAGCCAAAATAAAATCATTGAATGGAATCGTGTTTGAGTGGTTTCGAATGCGGTGCTATACTTGCGACTTGCGATCTATGACGACGGCGGCGGCTTCGATGTGCGCCCGCGCGCGCGAGCCGCCAGTGAAGGAAGTTCCGCCGCACGAATCAGTCCCGAATGATTTCAAGGTTGCCGCAGATCTTTATGATTTTCATTGTTTTGTGTCGTTCGTTCGTCAGATTTTCTGGGGAAAAAAAGAAGGAAAAATGTTTACCGTCGAGCCCGAAACTGTGGATGCTGTCGCTGACTCGCGGATTTCGATTCAGCCGTGTAACCCCCTCCCCCGAGCGCCTTACGCGATCTTTGTGAACCGCTGGCCATAAATTTCAATGTTGTTAGCAGCGCAAGGATTCTGGTCTTTGATTGTTAGGACCGTCCTCGGGCCCGAGACAAAATCTCACGAACGGAACTTCCTTTGCGTTTTGAGACTATTTCCCTTCGTACCTTGAGCTAATCGCGTCAGGAGCCAGCAGTTTCCGCATGCAGAGTTCCAGCCGATCACGGCTCACCCAGAGCTTTGAGATCCCGACGAGCTGGGGCGATTGTACGTTCTATTGGAATTATTGAGAAGCGATCGGCTCGATCGATGACGGTTACTTCGGTCTTCGATTCGCAAGCATAAAGGACTCGAATGTATTGTTCCGGATGGTGGGCGAGCTCGAGCGATTTCTTGGCTCGGCTAGACCACCGTAATGATACGACCTAGTCTCATAGAGCCAGAAAAGAAATCGTCTTATTCTAGAAATTTGACTCATAACTCGCGTACTTACCACCCACAGCGCGTCCAACGACGCGCGGACGTATTCTATTCAATCAGCATGACTTCCACTCGACGGATTGTGTGCGGCCATATCGAGATTATTTCGGAATAGCTCGGAATGACTCGATTCGGACCTCATTGAGGCAGGCGGAAGGCTCGCGCGTGGACCCATCGAACCCACGGGTGTACGTCGTCGGCTGACCCCAGCCGACGCCGACGAAGGGCTGTGGTCTTCTCCGTTTTTCCTCCCGTGGCCGGGATTTCTGACCTGCGGATGTCGTCCGAGACGCAGCGGGAGGACGTCTTGAACTTCAACAAGAGGTACAGGATCTCGGTGGTGGTGCTGCCGCCGAGCCGTCTTCGCTGCCGCTGCCACCGACGAATCGAGTTGCCTACCGCTGCCGGTGCTTACCCGTGAAGCTAGCCGCGCGACGACTTATTTCGGGCAAAGCCCAAACGACGCCGATGCGGTGGTCCGTCTATCCGTACTGATGGACCGACGGACCGATGGACAAACGATCGGTCGGCCCTGTCCATAGGCGAGTCGTGAATGGGAGATTTCGCTCGCTGAGTGTTTAGAGCGCTCGTCTGGCGTTTTTTTCTTCTCTTCAAAGACCAAATCGTACGAAAATGCGCTGTGCTCGCGGATTATCGAAGTTCTCAATGAAAACCACCGCGCGCCGCTCGCTCCAGATTACACTGGAAGACTCGAACATCTCGCCGCTCGCCTACCTGCTCGGAGCTGATGGTTACAAATGAGCCGGAGGTTTCATCGGCTCTGTCATAGTCGTCCCGCGGCGACATCCTTGATCAAGAGTTCGATAGAGATTCCGCTTTCGCTATTCTGAAGCGGCTCTCCTGTATTATTTTTCTTCTGGATCATACCGCAAGAGTCTCCTCATGGGATGCTCGATGAATTGCGTCGCTGAATGCCATCGTTCACTGTCCAGGATCCTTGGGGTAGCTCTGAGAAATTCAGAGTAACTGCCCTCAAGTCGATTACTTTTCCCGAGGTTACCCGACATGCTGGGGGTCGGAACTTGGAACTGAAATCTTCCCATTGATTCCGTAGGTATCGGAGAAAGAAATTCATAAGAATAGAGCGTACTCACATTTCAGGTATCCCAGTTGTGCAAAGTGTGCGGGGAACCGGCGGCGGGCTATCATTTCGGCGCTTTCACCTGCGAAGGATGCAAGGTAGGTTTCATGAAGTCGATACCTCCGAGAACAACATCAGAATCTCGGGTCTTAGGCAGAAAGTAATGAATTTGTATCACTCCGATACATCGAAGGACTCGATCAATCCATGCGGCATCAAGTGTGAAACTTCAGATCATTGACGATTCTCAAGAAATCAGACATCCTGAGCAGATATCTCCGCGGATTTAAGTCGATTGAGCTATTGCTGAATGAATCAACAATCGATCCGTCTTTCCGTCTGAATGGCGGACTACTCAAAGAACGGTGACGAGACTTTCCCGTCGGGCGATCATCATCATTGTCGTCGATGTTGTCGACGACAGAGATGAGAGGGATTTGTTCGAAAGGTTCGTTCGGTCGCTGCAGCCGGCTAGTTCCCTTCGTGAATGTACAACGGCTCGATATAGACGAGAATAATTCGGGGTAAATGTAATCACATATTTGAACGAAGTATTTTCTTCACTTTTGTTGGAATACGAAAAACCTTCAATCCGTTTTCCGCGTTTGAGCGTCCGTCTGTCTGCGCGTCGGTCTACCTGCTCGCTTTGACTTTTTCTTTGCATCGGACAAAAAGTGGACATTTGACCCAGAGGTATCGATTGACTCGGAGCGTCGACTTTCCGGGTGGCCTAATCACCGAAAGAGACGGCTCACAAACGAGAGGCAACGAAAATTGAAAACAATTCGCGGTCATTTCCAAGAGAACGCATCCCGCTCTCTGTGACTGACTCTCCCTGCGATGGCACTGTGAATTCAACCTTTCTCTCTGAGGGTCAAAAAACGTCCAAAATTCAATCCGAGCACCGACCAGGCTCCCAGCAACGGGAATGGATGCACATCAGACGAGAGCAAGGGGAAACGAAAGGGAAAATGAAATTAGTCGCTCGATCCTCGATATTCGTCGAACTCTGACAGAGATAAAAAGCAGAAGATTTCCGAGGCTGAGCAAGTGTTGAGTAAATGGTACGTGGCGAGCCGACGGCGAAGAGCAATCCTCCGCCATGTCTATCATGTTTACGGTGTGTTGACGTGTGAGCAGCACCCATTCATCGACTGGGCCAGAAAACCCATTGGTTGGCTGGTTAAAGTGCGCTCTACGCACGCTATTGTTCATAGATGGCTCCAACAACGCCGGCAACATCACATTGATTGGTTTCTGTATCCATCATCGGGGATCCCTCGAGCCGTGATCAGCTGTTGACTGATACAATTACTACAGCTATGCTTAAATCACGGACAGCAGCGCTTCGCTGTGTCGAAGGCTCTTCGATAGGAGGGTGGCCGCTCGACAACGTCTGGCAGGCCGTCAGCCGCGCCGAGTGGAAGAAAGCCGCAGAGTCAAATTGCTGCCGGATAGTCAGCAAGAGTCATGCAGCAAGGCACACAAACACCCACGCACAGCGGCGATGTCCACCGCGAGCGCCTACCATCTGTACTTTCGGTCGCAGTGCCTCGGTTTTATTAACTATTGTCAAATGACCACGAGAATTCTTCTTATCCTCAATGCCGGCTCGAGTGAGTTGCGAACGAATGCGAGGACGCAACGACAGACTGAACGATGAAGATTGTCGACAAAAAATCGGCGATCACCAGCCGGTGATCAAGTCGAGTTCCGTGGTTTCGGTAGCATGCGACAAACGCAGAAGTGAACGGATGGCCATGTCATCGTCGCTGGTCGTCGTCGCCATAATGTGTTTTTGTATCGTTAACCTTCTTTTTATTCTTAGGTAGAAATGTCTCTATATTAGCAAGTTGGCGGACGGACGGGCAAGCGAGCGAGCAAGCAAGTATGCAAGTCAATGCGAGAACCGAAATTACGGTCGGTCAGACCAAGTAAGGAACAACTTCGGTTCAACTTTGATGGCGGTCTTCGGCTACCATTCGGTCAACGAATATGTCAGCTCTCACCTTTTGCTTCATTTGCTTCCCCTTTGGTAGTAGTAGTGGCGGTGGTAGTAGTAGAGGTTGTCGTCGTCGTCGTTGTTGTCAAAAGTCGCGATGAGTCGCCGCCGCCGCCGACGACGACGACTAAGGCGAATGGAAAGGTCAAGACGGCTGATATACTTTCCTTCCTCCACAAACAGAGCTCTCCTGCTCCTCTTCCGCGGTTTGTCGGCTTTATCGCATCGACTTTATCCTCGTTGGCTCCGTGTTGTTATCTGCTCGATCTTGTTGATCCGAGACGACCCATGTGCGCGCGCGCGATCGATTGTCTGCATCGATGAGCCGCGCGACTCGACAGAAGAGGACAAGTCTCGTTGCGGACATCCACTTGGGTGTCACCTAGCAGGATTAGGAGCTGCCTGCCAGCGGTTCAAAACGAGTCGCGGAGAAAAATAAAGCAAAGATGACGACGACGATCGAGGAGCGACAGGATTCCTCCTCGTAAAGGTAGAAGAGCCACTCGGGGCTGACAGCGATGCCGAAGCCGTGGTGACACCCGCTGAGGTACACTGTAACAAGCGGAACGTCTCTGAACAAAGAAATATGAATTGTTTTTCGACCAACCTCTCTGTTTCTGACTGACTGACTGGCAGACATTTTAGAGCGCTGTGTTTGCCTTAAGTCCGACTGGGCGAAGCATCAAGCGCCGCCGACGTACAAGCCGGGCGGGAGGGCTCCGCGATCGGTACAAAAAGGTCTTCCTAATGTTTGCCGAAAATATTACTTTCTTACGGCTGTACATTCGGTCACCTTCCCGATCGAGCAAAGCGGGAAAAAGCTCAGATACGGAATGATTTTATTGGAAGCGTTTAGCTGGCGTTTCGATTAATTCAGAGGAAAATATGAAGAATCGAGCTTTTCTCACTGTTTGTTTGACCTTTGTCCTCATGTATATTCTGCCGCCGCCGCCACCGCTGACTTTATGGACAGTATTTTCAACATGAGCGATGTCGGGCTTGCTCGCTGAACGCTTTGCGGTCATTAGCGAGTCTCGATGTTTTCATCGAACATTTTATTTATCAATCTTTGCTTTCGATTGAGCTTCGCGAGAAATTCGCGAAGTTTGAATGGATCAAGTCGACCCAAGCCACGCGACCAAGAGGATTGTTGCGCACGCCCTTCAGTATCTGGTTGAAGCCTTGTTCGGCGGAAACGGATGATCGTCGATCCGAGAGGGGGGCAACGCGAGGTGGATTCATTGTTTCCAACATCCTACTACAAGTACAGACCTACAGATCGACTGAAATCAAGTCTGGGCTTCTCTGTGGGCTGAGTGATCCGTTGTGGGTTAGAGGAACGCCCTGTGATTGAGCAATGTGAGAAGTCATTCCAGCACGACAAATAAAGAACAAGCACAAGGACAACAACAACGACAACGGCAGAGAAGACGACAACGCGACGTCAAGTGGCAAATTTGGAGGAAGCCAGTCACATACGCACACAAGCGCAGGGGACAAGTCGTGGGAGTGGAGGGAAACACCCGCATTCAGTGGGTGAACGTGAAATTGAAATCGTCTTCATCCTTACGACGGCAGGACGAACTCCGATACGGAGACCCCGTCCCGGCTACCTATCAGAACCAGATCGAGATCTTGTATCGCGAGAGGTCAAATCTGGGAAAATCGATAGATGTTTGGGTAATCATCCCAGACTCCAGTTCCGTTCTAAGCCATCGGTACAGCCTCCCTGCCTCACTGTACTCGGGTCGGGTCGTCCGTAAACTCTTTGGAGAAAAACACCGAGATGACCGGGGTCGGGTCCTTTGAGCCAACAGGAGAGCTCATGTCGCTTGCAACGTCTTCTGCGGAACTGAACTTCGAATGATTGAGCGAGCGAGCGATGAATCTGTTCTGTGAACAGTTTTTCAGCAGCTGAGCTTGCCGCCGGTGTCACTTTGTTCGGTTTGCCACCTCGTGTGCTCTTCATTGGATGCTGTCTAGAATCCTGACTGGTTGCTGGTCGGTCGGTTCGCCCGCCGACTCGCTCGCTCGTTCGCTCACTTGCTAGTAGGCCCAGTCAGTCAGTCAGCCAGGCAGACGGGCAGGCAGGCAGGCAGCGATCGAGAGGTCAGCACAGCGACTTGAAGAGAAGCGTGAAGTGCTGTATTTCTGTAATGGCGACCGGCTCCACCGACGACGTCGACGACGACGTCGAAGAAACCGCGGAGCTCTATGGGCAGCAGCAGCAGCAGCAACGGAGAGGTCAAAGGTGCTCTCCCTGCCCACAACACGGTCTAACTTCATTTTGAAGCGAGCAAAAAAATATCGAAGTAACGAACTCGCCGCTGACCAAAATGAACGTCGGTCATCAGCGGAAAGAGCGACGGATAAAGCGTTGACCACTGTCAATATTTTTGATACGTTTCCCGACAACGTATCTCCCGTGCATCGATCATGTTGAATGTTTAGGAGGATAATTTTTATCGCTCTCGTTCTTTCGGCGAGGAACCACATGATACTATTTTACTGTATAGCGAATTTTCCCTATTCCTCTCTTCGGGGAGTTCAGGCCGAATCGAAGTAGCAGGAAAACCGGGGGAAGAAAACTCAAGATCGGAGGAAGAGCGAATCAAGACTTCCACATTTCTCGGTGAGCGAGTGACACTTCAGATCATCGCTGCCGGTGCTGTCGGAACACAAATACCACCAGGGAAATAGAAGAGGAGAGAAGAGAGGGGAGAAGTCAAAGAAAGCTTTGTCAACCGGATGTTGAGAGTCGGTAGTCACCCACTAACGGAGAAGCAATCAATCCAAGGTCTTTCTGTCGTTCGCTTTCCGCGTCTTCAAGTCCTCACTTCGGTCTGGCGATACTCAAGTCTCCGCATGTCGCCGCAAGCGGAATCAAGCGCTCAGAGAATTTTCTCCGATGAGTTCTCAATGGCTTCGAGCAGAGGCACACAGCACCGAATCTTCAAAAACTCCAGAGTATCTGTTGAGCGAGGGATCAGAAGTATGAATCAATCAGTCGATCAATTCGAGGGCGTTCCATGATTTTTATTCCAAGTTTAACTTTCGAGTCTGCTCACGCGGCCCCTCTGGAGTTTCGGAAACCTT